TATATATATATATATATATATATAGAAAATACTACTTAACAGAATATATCACATAGATGAACATATTTGAAGAGAGTATTCATGAAGAATCTCATGACCACATCTTATATTGTCAATTTATCTTAATGTTTGCAAGCAACTCGTGTTCAACTTAGTAATTGCTCAAGTTTGAGAAATTACCAAATTAAACTTTGTAGTAAAAGAATAATGGGGCATTTATATGCATATCACACATTTATTTATTATTTAACATTGAAAAGATAAATAAAGGATGAAATTCTAACCACTAAACCCTCACGCGTGGATTGTGCTCTTGATCATATCGATGCTCTGGATTATTCCTTAGCTCACATCAAAGCTTTGGATCGTATGGAAGCTCTGTATCGTGCTTTAGATTGTGCCCTAGCTTGAGTCGATGCTCTTGATCGTGCCCTAGCTAATGTCAAAGCTCTGGATTGCGACTCCCTCGCTTCAATCAGGGCTGCTCTACGACTCCATTGCTTCGATCAGGGCTTCTTGACAACTCTCTTTCTTCGATCGGGGCTGATTGACGACTCTTTTGTGTCAATTAGGGCTACTGGACAACTCACTTGCTTCGATTAGTGATGCTCGATGATGGCTTGCTTGTCACTTACTTCGGCAGGGCTGCGAAGAAAGATTGTGAGGTGACACAAAGATCAACAAAGTACCGCAACTTTGATTTTGTGTTGCTACTTTGAATTTTTCTTTGATGCCACTCAAATTTAAGTTCCCATGTCAGTGTCGAGCCGTGTCAAGTAGCCGTGTCGAGTGGTGTTCGAAATGTGTGGAGCGGTGTTCAAAAAGTGTCGAATTAAATGAAAAGCACGATACGATTAATAGAGTGTCTGATATGTATTGGCTCTTGTCGGAGCCGTGTCCGTGTCAGACACAAGTATGACATGTATTGGAGTTGTTAGTGCTTCATAGAAGGGGAATAATTTAAGTCAATCTTAGCTTACATAGGGCTTCATGCCCTATCAAATATACTATATAATGCACAACCCAAATAAGCAGTCATTTGGGAACCAGCGGGCTGGATCTGTGACCATAATATAGTGGAGCCTTATCGGCCAAACTACTGTATGGATCATACTAGCCTAAGCACCAGATAGAGTATACTGACCAAATCATCTGATGGAGTCTATTAGCCACATCACCATGTGTAGCTTATTGGCCAAACCATCCACTCAGAAGACTTTGGTCGTATCCGCTTCACTGTGGAGTCATTGGGCCAAACCACACAAGCAAATGACACAAGCCACCTCCTTACTGATGTAAATTTAGTAGTATCATTTATATGATACTTGCTCTTTTTTGAGTTTAAGTTAATTTGGATCTATTACCCTTCATAAACAGTTGCAGTGGGCAGTTGTATTTTTTTTCTTAAGGACTAGTAGATTTCACATAATAACTTTAAATTATCGAATCATACAGAATAAAATTTAAGAATATATTCATCCGATTTGAATCTCCTATCAACACGATCATTATTATGGTATTTATGTTATTTTGAAGTTCGTCGATTTTATTTAACTTTAGAGGATCACATTCATAAATTGAATTATTTGAATAAATTTTGGAACTTAATTCTAAAAAAGAATCTCTTTGGTTAAAATCTTCTATGAACTCGGCTATCATCGATGATATGATATTAAAATGCTTATTTAATAAGTAAATTTAGTGGCTTGAGCATTCAAAGAAAATATCAATTCTGTTAAATCCAATTCTTCTTAGGAGGTCAGTTTTGTTAACTCCAGTCTTTGTTAAGGAAAAAGATCAAACCTTGCACTATAGACAAGATGGTCTGCTCAAGAATGTACATTTATTAATAATTTTTAAATTGACTTTTGAAAAAGAGATTTTGCAAAGGTTTTGAAAATGCGCACAATTCTCAATATGGAGTACAATTTATCTTAATTTAATTTTTTGTGTGTAGCATTCTTAAATCACGTCTATAAGCATTTAACACATCGGTCGGAGTACATGCAAGCATTTTGTTATGTGCACGCATCACAATGCATTTGAAAAATTAGCTCATAGTATGCATGGATTTTTTAAATTACTTAAATCTGATCGAGAATATATGCTTTTAAGATCGATGCATGGTCTCAATTCAAATTACATTTTAACTTAAATTTATTTTCTGCATGCGTAACATTCTCAGACCATATGATTAAGCAACTTGCATATTGATCAGAGCACATGTAGGCTAGTTTTTTAATGTGCATATATTTTGAAGTGGTCACACATTTTTTTTAAGAGATGCATTTAAGTTGAAGGTAGCCTCAAGAGATGTGGAGATCCTAAAGTATTTTCAAAATTTGAAAGCTTGCTACAACATATTTTGCTTTGAGATGAGTGCAAGATTTTACTTTAAGCCTCTTAAATATCGTATTTTGTCCTCTCATATAGAGGTTGTGGATCCTGTGGCGAGTAGGAGACAAATGATAACCTCTTAAGTGCATAGTTGAATATTGTCTTTTTTCTTATAGCGTTTAAAGTTTAATCAAGTGGGCCCCACAAGAAATTATCTCTCTCCTATAAATAAGGTGGGACGTGTTATGATTTGCTTTACAATATTTGAGTTTGTTCATTTTCGTGTTCGGAGACTATTGGTGAGCAAGTTGAGTAGGAGGGAGGACGTCGCTTTGGAGGAGATGAGGGAGCTTGTTGGGCCATGATTCAGCTTAAGAGGAGGGAATGAGGGAAGACCAAGTAGTTTTGGTGTTTTTGCGTATGAGGGAGGACTTGGGTGTGATATTAAAAGCGGAGTGGGGTAGTATTAGGCTATGTCTTTTTTTTCTGTTTGGCTCTGATAGATGATGGGACGAGGTAGCAATCTCGATAGTGTACCAAGTGAAAATTCTGGAATTTTAACGCAGTATATACAAAGATTTCAAATTTCATGTTTTATTTATTATTATTGTTATTTTTATAAAGTTTAATTATGAAAACTGATTTATGTATTTATTTTAAGTAATTTCAATGCAATTAAATTAAATTACATATTAACCGTGATTCTTTTTAATTTTATTAAATTATTTTTACGTAACTTATATATATATATATACGTGTGTGTGTGTGTGTGTGATTACTTGCAAGATTCGTTATTGCTCATCTCAGGTTGCATTTGTTTCTCGTTCGTGCAGATACACGGGCATAATGTGCATCTATTTTATGTATGTTCGATAATATGGATGCATCAGAGCAGTCCATTTTACGATTGGAGAATGTTTGGATTATGTCAGCAGTCATCAAAATGATTTAGGCCGGAATTGCATGTGTCGCATTCATAACATGCTCCTTTTAATTATAAAAAGTCTTGTCATAAATAAATTTTGATGTTCCGCACATCCTCGTGTAGTCTGTTTCATGATAAGATGCTTGCATGTGTCGCATTCATAACATGCTCCTTTCAATTATAGAAAGTCTTGTCATAAATAAATTTTGATGTTTCGCACATCCTCGTGTAGTCTGTTTCATGATAAGATGATATTTGGGCACAACCAGCGGTCGTCGAGGCAAAGCTCAAATCGCACATTATCACACATTGTTGGCCATTTTGATCATATTTTCTCATGTTGATTTCTGGAGCAGGTATAGGGGTCAACATGACCTCGAAAAGCTTTCTCCCATGACAAAAGAAAAAATTAATTACTTGTAGGACTTGTGTAGAAAAAACAAAATTGTGTAAGGGATGATGTCAGATTTCGAAGAACTGGAACAATCCATTGGAAGTCGACGATGTATAGTGAGGTGATCGCGTCAAATTCCTCTCTTTGGGGCATTTTGCGATCAAGGAAGCGACAACGGGAGCCACAGACGTGTTTTTCTTCGTAAGATAAATCCGTTAAATCCTTTTACAAATCAGAGTGTTTCCTTCACGTTTGCTCTTTTCATTTATAGAAAGTCTTATCTTAAATAAATTTTGATTGTCTGAACATACTCGCGCAGTCTGGCTCACAATAAGATGATATTTGGGCAGAGTCGGAGGCTGTCGAGGCTAAGCTTGAAACCCACATTATCACACTCATTGTCGACCATTTTCATTATGTTTTCTCATGTTGACTCCCAGAGCAGGTATACATGTCAACTTGACCTCAGAAAGCTTTCTCCCATTGCGAAAGAAAAAAAATTCGTTCTTAGGTTTTGTATAGAAATTTTGAAATGTTGTGAGGGATGATGTCAGATTCATATGAATTAGAACAATTCGTTGGAAGTAGACGATGGACGGTGAGGTAATCGTTTTGAATTCCTCCCTTTGGGGCATCGTACAACCAGGGACGCACCAACGGGAGCCATAGAGGTGTGTTTTTTTTCCTGTGATAAAACTATTAAATCCACCTACAAATCAGATTTAATAAATGTAGATTTTCGTCACAACGAAAAGCAAAATTGGATTTAGCGGATCACTGGATTTAACTTCCTTCTTTTACATGTTTGGTTAGATTTACGTTAAATCCAGCTGGAAATCTTATTAAAAGTATGCTAGCGAACACCCTCTTAAAGTCTTAATTGCTAGGATGAATTATTCCTGTTTTCTTGATTAATTTTTTTCTATGTTAGTTTTTTAGAGTTGAGCATATTGTACCATTTGATTATGATTGCCCAACAGACCCTGCAGGGCTCCATCCACCATTAACAAGGTTTCAAAGTTTCTAAATTTCATTTTTTTTTACTCGCAGATTAACAACACTGCCTGCCTTCTTTGTCTTTGGGAAATCCTCGATTGATGTACTTGTTTGTGTGCAATCCTTACATCACAACCTATCATCAAACAATAAGCCGATTTTGGTATGTATCCTTCTTTCTAGGGCCATTTACATACATTGCACACAATTCTTATACAGTTACATATCTAATAGCTAAATTTTAATATTTGCGTGCAAATCACTCAAATCTTTAACATCACATCAAAGTACCACTATTACTAACTTTGCAAAAGTGAAATAGACCTTTTATGCATAGATTTATAGCACTAAAGTGTCATAAATGTAAAGATCACACTTTAGGTTTTAGATATGTGAATACATAAGAATTGTGCTGTATGTTTGTAAATTTGCTTTTTTTTATAATTGCTTTGTATGGATGATGAATGATTTTCACCTATTGATGACCTTCACGTTTTGATGTATTAGATTAGCAAATTGAGCAAAAACAATGATTTCCTATTGGCCTTGCCCCCTTTAAATTGTCTCCTCCCTCATCATAATAACATCCCGTCATGGATTTGATTATTTCTCAGTCATTTGTCATAGAATTTCTGCCATTTTCTTAGTTGATATATAATGCGAAGAACCTTTGCTGCTAGACTGTGAACATGTAAAACCTGTTTTTTTCAATCCTGTAAATTCTCCCATTAACTATGCCACTTGTAACCTCGGCACATCAAGGGGAATGAAAGCCCAACACGGAACATTTACACATGAAAATTGCTTTTTTAATTAAGATGTGGAATCTATACTATTATGAAAAGAAAACTTGGGATTCCACTAATACTCTTATCTTAACCTTTTGATTTTGTTAAATTCAATATAGTTGCTCATTTAGATGAAACTCACCTGACTGCCAAATCGTATTGTAAGAGTGCTAGTCATGCTTGTAATATCATTTTGGTCTTATTTAACTGTATGAGATCAAAATAGTGCCAAAATTTGTTGTATTTATCTTCTTTTTCTTGATAGACTTGGAAGGCTATGTGAGTTTCAAAATTTGTGTTTGTTATCCATCCTTGACTTCTTAAAATTTTATTTGCTATTGTTTTGTTTGTTACAATTGTTAAGGCTGTAGCCTGTAGGCCTAAATATGGCAAGCCCGTTGGAAAGTTCATAGCTAATTTTATATTTCCGGTTGATCAGTAGCATCTTAGAAGCTAATAAACTGCATGTGTTTTTCAAAGCAGATGTTATGTAGGTGATCTTTAATTTTCCAATAATGGTTGTGTGAGATTGTTCACAACCAATCTGTGAGGTTCAGAACAATCACACAAAATGAGACCTTGGAAGATCAGAGAAGCACTGTTAATTTTATTAAGAGAAAAGTGTCAAAATGGTCTCTTGACTTTTTTGATGGGGATCATTTTAGGCCAGAAGTCTATTAAAGTGCCAATTTAGACCCCGTACTCTTTTAATATGGGATTAGTCCCCATGGAGAAGTAATACAGCCCCGATTTAAAAAGTCCAGGCGCTAATTTGATACTTTTATATAATATGGGACTAAAATGGCCCCATGCATACAATCCGGTGACTGTTTTGACATTTTGCTCTTTTTTTTTAACATTCATACCTGCAATTTTCTGTGCTTATAGATATAGTTTATTTTTATTTTCCTATTTGAAGAAGATTGATCTCATTGTTATGAAAAATAAAGGATTTATTGTCTTCTTGATATTCATATTATTGTTTCTTTCTCTTCCTGAGAGCAGATCCTATTTGGATTGGAATATGCGCATGCTTTAGAGGACATAAAAGCAAAAATGGTGAGTTCATTGCCATCAGCTGGGTTTAGTCAAATAGTTCGATATGCAGAGGTTACTTCTTCGATCATAAATCCGTCTGATGATAATGATGGAATAAATGGACGCAACACGAAAGTTGTAGTTTTAAATTGTGGTCATAAGGAGAAAACTTTGAAGTCGGAGAAATGTAGTAAATTAGTCACTGGTACCAGATATGGTCTTGGAGGTCTAGAATGGAGTATTCCAGTGGATAAGAAGATTGATGATTACATTATGGTTTGGATTGGATCTGCAGATTCTGCTTTTGCAAATGTTGTTCTTACATTCAACAGTTGTGAAATAGGTGAAATAAGCTGTTGATTGTTTTATGAGAAAAGTGTTAAAATGATCTCTGACTTAACTGCAGGGGCCCATTTTAGTGCCGGAGTTTATGAAATGCTACTTTGCTCCCAAAATCTTTTAAATGGGGCTAAATAGTTCCCATGGAGGACTATTTCAGCCCATATTAAAGAAGTCTAGGAATCAATATAGTTTTTTTATTGACTTTGACACTAAAATGACCCATATATGAATAGTTGGGAGATGATTTTTGAAACTCTATTCGTTTTTTTATTATAATAATTTTGATTTATGCATGATTTGAAGCTTTTTGTTGGAACATTTTCTCATGCAATTACGCTTCTTGATATTTCCATATGACTTGATACTTCAGTTAGATATGACCCTGAGAGAAGCCAGTTTCTACGTGACTTCTCTGGCCAGAGAAAAACTCTGAAACGCAGGTATATTTCCTCCACATTTTCTCTGTGAATGAAAGTATAGTTAGTTTTTCCTTGTTTGTCTTCATACTTTTGGCGTGTTTGAACAGATATTATCTTGTCGAGAAGGCAAAGGATGCTAATATTGTTGGCATTTTGGTGGGAACTCTAGCTATTGGTATGTTAAAAGCAATTTTTTTACAAATCTTACTTTCAGTATTTTTGTTCAATTTTGAAAACCTCATAGAATATGCTGTCAGTGGAGCATAAACATTTCTGTGTGTGATAGTTTACCGAGACATTTACATACATATCACCCAATTCCTATATATCTAACACCTAAACTTTACTTTTTTACATAAATACCACTATTTTAACTTTTTAAAAGTCAAATACATATTTTTTATCTACAGGCAAGGTGGCATCTATGTAAAAATTAAAGTTTAGGTGTTAGATATGCAAATACATAAGAATTCGGTGGTTTGTATGGAAATCTATCTCGGTATTCCTTTATTTACGAATTATATTTCTGCTTAATCTGACTACAACTAGAATTAGTTCCATCTGCGTTGTTTTTTACAGAATGATTACTATGTATCATCTACCTAAACTGATTAATCTGCAACCTGCATTTGCAGCTGGTTATCTTAGGATGATTAATCAGATGAAAGAATTGATTGAAGGAGCTGGGAAGAAATCTTACACCTTAGTCATGGGAAGACCTAACACTGCCAAACTCGCCAACTTTCCTGAGGTAATGAGAGATTAAAACCAAATAATGTCTTTCAATCAAATATTTATTGATATTTTTTTTAATTTTGGAAGATTTACATACATACCACTCAAGTTTTCTTTATTTATATATCTAACACCTAAACTTCAATTTTTACATTCATGCCATCTTACTTGTGCATGAGAAGGTTTATTTTACGTTTAAAAGTAAAAATAGTGGCATTTTTTATGTGATATGAAAGACTTGTGTGAAATAAATGTAATAAGCAAAGTTTGGGTGTTAGATATATGAATACATAAACATTGGATGGTGTATATGTAAATGTCCCTTTTATTTACAGTGTGATGTTTTTGTCTACGTCTCTTGTGCTCAAACTGCTCTCTTGGATAGCAAAGATTTTCTGGCTCCAGTTATAACTCCTTTTGAAGCAACGTTAGCTTTTGGCAGGTTTGGTTATTTCTCATAAGGAAAACTTTTCAGAATCGTATTTTCACTCTTCACCATTTGTGTGTTTAAACTTTTTTTTTTTTTTTGGGAAATTTACATACGCAGCACACAATTCTTATATATTTACATGTCTCACAACAAAACCTTCATATTTACATACATAGTAGTTTGGTGTTTTAAGCCTATTCATGAATTGGTGTACATAACTTGTAAAATGTGGTAATAGTGCTATTTGGTGTTAAAGATTTAAATGAATATGTGTATAAATATGAAAGTTTTGGTGCGGAATATGTAAATACATAAGAATTGTGTGCTATGTTTGTTAATGCCCCCCGCCACAATGCCCTCTTGTCTGCATGTAACCTTGGTGGATTTTCTTGCTTGACAAATTTTATATGATCAATGTCAAAAAGTTGATCAAGGTTGGTTTTATTCGAGGGGAGAATTATCCTTTTAGTTGGCTAACATTGTGTCAGTTAAGAAACAATGATTAAAGTGCATATTCGTCAACTTTGGGTTCTGTACAAGGCGTGATGAAATTGCTTATTTCATTTTAAATGAATGATGTTCTACAGGATTTTAAATGTTTTAAGAACATTTGATTTAAAACTTTCAAGTTCAATTTCTCCCTCATTCTAATCTTTGGCTCCAAATCTCCTTAAACTTTTGCAGGGGGAAAGATTGGACTGGAGAATATGTGGTGGAGTTTGGCGACTTGATGATCTCTTCACCGGGAGATTTCAATCACTTTCATGAAGCTCGGTTTTCATTTTTCAAAGGTGGCTACATAGAAGATGTTCAGCCTCATGGTATTTCCTTCATTTTATATATTTATTTGTTCTTTCTTTTCTTTTTTTTTCTTTCTTTTTTTTGGGAGCATTTACATACATACCAAACAATTCTTATGTATTTACATAGCTTACATCTAAACATTCATATTTACATGCATACCATTCAAATCTTTAACATTACATAAATAAATACTACCATCACTGCATTTGTAAAAGTGAAATGCACCATTTCATGCATAGGTTTATGCCACAAGGGTGCTATAAGTGTAAATAACAAACTTAGGGGGTTAGATATGTGAATACATAGGAATAGTGTGGTGCGTACGTAAATTTCCTGTTTTTTTATATTCTTATTGTTAATGTTTTGAAGATTTATCATTTGATTCTTGTTGGTTAATATGTACATTTGTCACCTGAGAAGATTGTTAAAATGGTTCCCCGACTCTTTGCAGGGATAAATTTAGTCTTGAAGTCCATAAGAGTCAATTACTGAAAATTGTTTTAATAGGAGCTGAGATAGATTTCTCTTGGGACTATTTTAGCCTATTATAAAAGAATTTGTGGACTAATTTAATACTCTTATGGACTCTGGATTAAAATAGCCCCATGTAAATTCAGGGGATTATTTAGACACTTTACCCTTTTATCCTGTCACAAGCTATTTATTAAAGGAGGACATGTCTTTTTTGGCAGAAAATGAAGGACAAAGAAATGATGAATCAGTTGGGTTGGAGTTGTCAAAGGCAGCTATGAACTCAATCGACCGACCGTCTGATTCGATTTTATTCAATGGATCGGCTCAATCGGGGGTTGATTTTTTTGTTGCCCGTAGCTTCAAAGGTCTCAATATACAGTATAATAATCCTTCTCCCCCTTCATACATCATTGGTAGGAGAGGCAGAGCAGCTGGCTATGATGATGAGAGAAAGGCAATATATAGTTCAGAAGTTTGACGGTACTGAGGACTTCTGTGCAAATGAATTTGATTTGTTCTTTGAGGTGAAGAAATTGGTGGTTTCTAACATGTAAAATATGAGCTGTTAGGATTATTTGAAAGCCCAATGTTGTAGTTTATGAATAAATTATTTTATAAAGATTGCATTAGGGGCTGTTTGGTTGTAGTTCTGTGTTGTAATGAAATTATCTTGATCATCACTAAAATATTTTGTTTCTTTCAGTGTTATTATTATTATTATTATTATTTTGTTTTGTTTTTTTCTCTTGTTTTTAAAGATATATGTATGCATTTTTAGGATTGTGACAATTTGATTTAGTGCTATTTTATAGTTCATTATTGCTTGTGGAAATATCTGTTAGATTCCCCTGGTTTTGGTTGCATTGATCATTTATGAAATTTATTATTTTGAAGATCTAATATTGTACATTAAAAAAAGGTGAGCATGAATCAAAAATAAATCTTGCTGACAGGAGTGATGTGGCCCAGCGGGGCCTAACAAGTACGATCTGGGACTAAACGATTGACAATCAACCCACACTTTCGGAAGAATGTTATGCCTCGAGAAAATAAAAAGCATACTGTGCCTGAAAAATTCATAGGACTAGAAGCATCTAAACGGACAAATCACCTTCTAACTCAGATAGGTCGAGAGAGTAAAGACGAACCTCATAGTCTTTGGGTGGGAGTCGTGTATCCTTTGCAAATAGCAGCTCAGGCGGACAATCACCCTGCCTGGTAGCCGCTTGTCCTAGTAACAGCTCGACCATGCTCATGGGTCCAGTGGGCCACATTTATGTACGGACTAAAATGCTCCTATTGTACCTACATATTGGGGCTACAGTGTGTAAATGTACAATGACTCGTTCTTATAAATAGGGGGTCCTTTTCATGAATAATGAATACACAAATGTATGTTCATTATTGTGTCATTACTCCCCCCTCGCTTTTCCTCCAGCATTCTATTCATTGGGCAGGCCTCCTGGATTGATTTGAATTCAACATCCTTAAAGATGTAGTGAGCGTGGAGTTATGTTGTTAACAAGAAAATGAGTACAACAATCACAGAGAGAAGAAACAACCAAAGAGCTGTAGCCAACTTGGATCCCCCGCAGGATGAGATTTAGGAACACATGTAAAGAGAAATAGAAGAGATGAGAGCAGGTGTCGAATCAAATTGCTGAAATCCTGAGGTCCATCACATCCCTGATGAGAAATTGGACCCCATAAGAGTAGAACTAGCCACAGGTGGTAGTGCCCGTGCAAAACGGTAGGAGAGCGAACCACTGTCCTTAGGTGGCCGATGACACACAGTGCAAAGACAATGCAGGATCGTATGATGCTCGCATAGAATATTTCAAAATTTCATTTTCAAATTCACCTTCATGATTACTTTGTCTTGTTGTCATGTTATAGCCAATTTTTCTTTATACCCATGGAATGAATATTTTAAAGGAAGCAGCTGATTCACTTTTATGACTTACAATTTCATCTATGTGAACTATATGAAACCATTTACAATTAAAATTGCATAAAAATTTTCTCCAAATCGTGTGGAGTTGATTGGTCCAAACCAGTCCATATGTAAGATTTCTATGGTCCTAGATGTAACTAAATCCTTGGTGGATGAAAAGATGCACTAAATTATTTTCCAAGTTTGCAAGCTTCACAAAGATGTTCATTGGTAAATTATATTTTAGTTATCCCTCTAATTAAGTTTTGAGTGTGAGATTTTCATAAGAGTTTTCATACTAGCATGATATAGTCTCTTATGCCACAACCATAGCTCTTCTAATATTATCTTAAGACAACAAAACTATTTTGTGCTTTTCATATTATCCAAATCTATCATATTCATATTATTAATATTTGTGCCTAAAAAATAGTTTTATCATACAAGTTCGTTAAAGCATTAATTAAATGTTTATTGTTTTGTTGTATAGTTGTTTGATACTTAACAAATTATGTTGGATGCAATTAACTAAAAGGATATTTTCATTAATAATTAAATTACTTTTGTTAACAATACCAAAAACAATTACTTTCAATTTATTATAGTTACAAAGAGTCACCATTCAACCCTTTCTAGGTTCAAGTGCTAGGAACTTATTTTTGTCACTAATAATATGTCTAGATCACCCACTATCTTGACATCATATGCATTCACTAACATTCTGTGAAGGCATACTTGTTCATACAACTAGTTGGTAACCTTAAAAAATAGATCATTTTGGGTCCCTTCAATAAAGTAGGATAAAGCATACAATGATGAATTTTAATCTTTTTTTTTTCTCCAGCTTAATGGTGTTTTCACATGGGTTCTATAAAGGCATAATGAGTTATGCATCCACAAGAATAACATGTGCTAGGAAATTCTTATATAATTTTTTTAGATTTAAATGTTTTTTTGTTATAGTGGAATGTTCGCCTAGGTGGTCCAGATGATTTTGTTAGATTAGTGACAAATTTTCAAAGTATTGAAAATTCTTTTCTAAGATCTTATTTTGCGCTTTTAGTTATACTTATATCAACCCTTAAATTGTGTTCTTATCATTCATAACAATCTAATTTTTTTTCTAACTCTTGTTGTGCTTCCTTAGTTTAAAAAAGTTTATGATTCCTATTTTCAAGTTCATTTTTAATCTTAGTGAATTATATTTCAAGGTATTGTGTTCTTCATGTAGTGTGCAAAATTATTTATTCAAAATTGTATATTTCATTTTTACTTTCTTAAATTATGTTTATATTTTTTCAACAAATGTAGATAGTTCATCTTATGTAACGTTTAATACCTCTTAGATATTTGATTTGCCCAGTTTTTCATCAGTCATTAAGCAGGGATTTGTAATTTCCTCCTCTATTTTGTCTCTAACATTTTTGAATCTAAGTTGAGCTCAAAAGCTCATAACTTGATGTGACTTTGCCTATTATAATTATACTCAAAGAAAATGCCATAAGTAGATGATTTACATTTACTTTTACCTTTATCTTATCCATTTTCCTACAAAAATATTTTCTCTTTTATTTTTTGAAGTAGAGACAAATTGCTTTGTTCTCTCCATCCTTAGACTATCTTTGTTTTGTGTCTTTAGTTTTTAGCATGATCTTCTGTCATTCCACCAAGTTTGTTTGTCTATGTGAACTTTTTCTTCAGAAGTTTTATGAAAACCAAGTAGATGATCAAATGAATAAGTGGATAAAAATTTTGATTTATAAATTACCATAACCTTAGCATCCCATGATTCATGCATATATCTTAGAATTTTATTCTCTTTTTGCATTAGATAAAACTATATCAAGTGCATACAAGGATGTAACATTTTTTGTAAAACAAGTGTACATTTCAAAATTCTTTCATTAGATAGCATTTGGAAGATTTCATATTCATGGAGCATAATATATATACAAGACTGTATGACTTCATTTGTTGCTTCATAAGTTTCTTTCTTGAAAGTCAAATATAAGCAAAGATTGGAATAAAACATATAATAATAATAATAATAATAATAATAATAATAATAATATCCAAAGTAATGTAAAAATTATTTAAATCACTATCAAACATGTCTTAAAGCCTTAATTAACCACTAGTAGTTACTTAGAGTAAAGAGTAAATGTCCTTTAGTTAATTAAATTAAATAAAAAACAACATTTGTAAGAAAATAATTCAAGTGAAAAAACACAAATTTAAAAACCTCAAAAGGCTTTTAATATTAAAAATTTCATCAAAGAAACCATATAACAAAAACTAAATATTAAAAATAATTTCAAGCCATTTTGATAAAAAAAACTTAATTTTAAATAACTAAATTACATAAGAAATAAATAAATTAAGATAAATATATTTATCCTCAAATTAATTTGCAATTTTTAGATTAATTGAAACTAAAAGCCTAACATTTTGGCTCACCATACAAACCACACACACATTAGATGATTTTATTAGATTGCTGACTCTAGCATTACGTTAGGGCAATTAAGATTATGATTATTTTTATAATTGTGATGATTTTTAATTTTTCTTATTAGACTTGATATTGAGGTGGTTTGTGGTTAGATTGGATGTTAGGGTATCTAATCTAGTAATCCTGACACTTATTTTTTGTAATTGCATGCACTTAGTAGGACAATCATTAAAATAATGAAATGCAATTCTATGCCTTTTCTGTAGGTGCTAAAATTTTGCTCCTAAGCATGGTTCTGGTAGGATAGGAGGTAATAAGTCAATTAAAGCATTTATGTCTATTATACTTATATTTTGCTCCTTTTGTGATAAGCTTTATGTTTTCGAACCATAGTCAATATAGGATTTATTTACTTTCAATCAAATCTATAAATAGAGTTAGGTTAGTTTATATCGGTGTCCAGTCACACAAGCCTTTCATAAGTTTTTCTTTAGCCATATTGGCTTATTTATTTTATTTGATTATTATTTTCTTCATTGTGTTTACTTTTATAATTGCATGATTAGAACTCTACGCTTTTTAAGTTTATTAGTGGTGTGCTTTGCTTAAATCATTGTGTGGGTTGGCTCTTAGAATAGCTTTTCTACCCAAACTAATAATTTATAATATTGTTTTTCAATTAAGCTAAGAAATAGTAATATAAATAATAAATTAAAATTAAACCACATCCCTAGTATTGTGTAACATATAAATGATATTTAAAATTGAGTAGAAACTAATAAGGTCTGCCTTATAATCCGGACAGGTAGATCATATGCATCATATTAGTTCTTCCTCTATATTTTTAGCACTCACCCATTACATCATAAGAGGAGAATCTGACTAGTGAGAATCACTTCTCTTATACTGTGAATTCTACCTTTTGTACTTTACATGACATTAAGACTTTTCATGCATGTATATTTAGGATTGCATACCTTCTTACATAGCCTTTTAAGCACAAAATATAACATCAAATTGAACCAAATCAAGCAAGATTCTTCAGCTAGTCAATTTCTTTAAACATCTTCAATAAGTCAAAAAAATATTAAATTTAAAATGTAATTTTTTTTGCATTAGCTAGATGCATTACATACTAGATTAGGCTACTTTATTTTTTATGATCAAAGTATAAGACATGCTGTGATTATAAGACGGTAGTGAGACCTGCAATGCTATATGGCGCTGACTGTTAGCCTTTAAAAGAGAAGTATAATAATAAGTTAAGTGTTGCCGAGATGAAAATGATTAGGTGGATGAGTGGCTTTACACTTAGAGACAAAACTGTGAAATGAATATATCCGTGATAGGGTTGGTGTAGCTCCTGTGACAGACAAAATTAGAGAAAGTCGTCTTAGATGGTTTGGTCACATTAAACGTCGACCATCTGATGATCCGATTAGGAGAGTAGATGTTTTAGATTTGACTTGTGTTAAGAAAGGCAAAGGTAGACCTAGGAAGACTTGGGCTTATTTTATAAAAAATCATCTTAATTTACTAGAACTAAATGAAAATTTGACACTAAATAGGATGCAATGGAGAAAAAGGATTCATGTAGCCGACCCCAAGTAGTGGGATTAAGTCTTTGCTGTTGTTATTGTTGTTGTAAAGTATAAGACATGCTTCTCTTTTTATAATAAACAATAACCCTACCTCTCATCCATTTCATATGACCGGGTCACATGATTTTGAGACATTTAGGTGGGTTTAGCTAGCAGTCATTCCAAGGTAAGATCGTATGTATAGTAGAGTTGGACTTCATTCAATTTTTTATGGAATTAAATTATAAATCCTTTGCACTTTGTTAAACTAGGTTTAAGGCTCCACTTAGTTAATAGAACTCACGTTTCGTCTTATGTTCTAAGGCTATTCATTTTCTTATAATATAAACCCTTATCTCCTAAACTTTCTCATGATCTAATGCAATTGAAAACTTAATAAAACTATCAACTCAAACAAAAAAAAAAAATTTTATTTTAAAATCACTAAAACCCAATCAATGAAGGCAAAGGGTTGCCGACAACAATGGCCAAGATACATCAATGAGACAGAAGCCAGAGGGTGAGCACCACTAGTAGTCTTTTTAAAATGTTGAAAATAATTAAAAACTATTTTAAATATTTTTATAAATAAGTTCATTTATTTTGAAAAACAAAAATAAAAATATGTAAGAAAATATTGCACAAGATATTTTTAAAAACAAAAAATAAAAAACAAATTTTAATTCAAAATGATCTCTAAATCAGTAAATCTTCCCAAAACTACTGGCATAAAAATTTTTTATCACTTAATCTTGTGGTCGTCTTCATAATTAAAAGCAATGCGTCGGGGCGGGGGGGTCGTCAACTTTTACAAAGTCTAGTCAACTTTTACAAAGTCAATGAAAAGTCAATGAAAACAAAAATAAGAAAAACTCCAAAAATAATAAAAAATTGGAGTTTATTAACTTGAGTTTGAAATTATCAAACTCAAGTTGACTTTCAAGCGATTCGAGCTAAATATATTAGTTGAAAAGGTATATATATATATAAATATTTATATCAAAGAGGACTAATGTCATGTTTCAATGAATTTATTTTGGCTCGAACCTTTTTTTTAAATGAAAATAAGCCAGCCTATACTTTGAGCAATTTAAAACATGGTCAATTATCAAACAAGATCCAAACTCTAGTTAAGAGCTAACTGCCCTAATTAGAAGCAGAGCATTTTAAATTAACATATCCAATAGAGAACTTGTGATCTAGATTGGCACTTATCAATGCTAGAATCCAATTTCTCTAGTATACTTGTATTAAAGCGAATGCTAAAGAATAGAGGCAATATTAGTCATGGTGGCAGAAGTGTAATTTCGATAAACTTAAAATAAGAAAAAATGGGAATGTAGGAGAGTAATTATAATATAAACCCTCACGAAGGCCAACGCCCTTAACATACACAATTTCTCTCAAGAAATGTGCACACACACAAGTGCATTTAACATTCTGAAACTTCAATGATTTCATAAATAGAAGAAAATATTGTTTCCGGAGTCCGGATATCATTGTATCCGTACTCCAATAATAAGACATCATTTGTAAAGTCGTGAGACTCAATTTCATAAATTAACAAAATATAAAAAATATATTTTTTTAAGGACTCGAATCAAAATCTGTCTGGTACATCGAAAAAAAATGAATTATATTATTATGATATTTGGTAGAATTATGGTGGTATTCTAATGATATTCTGATGGTATTATAGTGATATACTTGTGATATTTTGGTTGTATTATGGTGATTTTTTTTTTTTTTTGTATTCTAGTCATATTCATGTGACATTTTGTGACATTCTTATGATATTATAATGATATCCGATTGTACTTTGGTAATATTTTTGTAATATTCTAATGGTAATTTCGTAGTATACTAGTGATATTTTAGTAGTATTTAGTGGTATTATGATGGTATACTTGTCATATTCTTGTGATATCTTTGTGATATTCTGATAGTATATTAATAATATTCTAATAATATATAGTGATATTCTTTATGGTGACATATTTGTGATAATTTGTTGGTATACTTGTGGCGTTCTGAGTGTATAGTAGTGGTATTATGATTGTAAACTAGTGGTATTCTTGTGATATTCTGATCATATTCTGTTGGTATTCTTGTAGTATTGTAGTTGTATCCTGGTGGTATATTAATAGTATTCTGGTCATTAACCTACAGTATTATGGGTATTATGATGGTATACTTGTGACATTTTACTGATATACCAGAATACCACCAGAATACAATCAAAATATCACAAATATATAATCATAATACCACTAGAATATTACTAACATACTAACAATATACCATCATAATATCGTCAGAATACCACAAGAATATCATCATAATACAACTAGACTGCCACTTGCCTACAACTAATGCCACGAGAAACCACTAATACACTATCAAAATACCACAATATACGGGCAAAATACCACACATATTACTAGAATATCATCGAAATACTAGCATACTACCAAAATATCACTAAAACATCATAATAAAACATCCAAAATATCACCAAAATATTAACATAATACAACTAGAATACTACAAGTATATCACCAAACTGCCACAAGAAAATCATAAGAATAATGCAAGAATGCCACCAAAACACCACTAAAATACCACAATAATACAACCAGAATATCATCAGAATACCACAAAAATACGACCAAAATACTACCAAAATACAACCAGAATACCACAATTATACAGCCAGAATATCACTAGTATACTGCCAGAATATCACCAGAATACCACTAAAATACCGCCAAAATATCATCATAATACAACTCATAGTCTTCAGGCCGGGTCACAAAAAAAAAATAGTTTCTTTCATAATTTTTAAATTCGTGAAAACAGGTACCACCACTTCACAAATGGCGCTGTATTATTGGAGTTTTGCGTCCAAACTCAAATCTCAATTTATGTTCATCTACAATACACAAAACTCAATAAATATTTATTTAAGATATGCGTGTATGCAGTTACTAATTTTTTTACCTCATGAGCTCTATGTAGTTCAGTACTTCAACAAATGCTAAAAACTGCGATTTATTGTACAAAATCAAATTCAAATGAGCTGCAATCTTCCCCTTTAAGTAGGACCTGCTCCATTAGAATTTAGAGGTAAAGCAGCACGGAGCTCCTAAAATAACTTTGTTCCATTCTGGCTACAGGAAATTGCTTAGGATCTCATTTGGTTGCTTGTCAATAAGAAGCTTAACGGCACATTTGGTTGCTTTTAGATTAAAAACATGTTTAAAAATATTATGATTCGATTTTCACTAGTTAGAGAGAAATTTATATCATTACTATGAAGAGAGTTTTGAAGTACCTAGAGGAGTGATAAATCAATCCTTGCATCTAATCGCATTTAATTAAAAAGATGAATTTAGGAAACTTCAAAACTTTCACAACACAATGAGAACTGTTAGCAAACAAATCAGACCTTAGAAAAAAGTGAGTTTGTTTTCCCTCATCTTAAGTGAATAAAATCATCAGTTTTGGGGGATGTTTTGAGAATGCCTCTGAATTTTTTAATTAATGCCTGTGTCTATTTACATCCAGACAAATTATGGATTTACCAAAAATGATAATTTTTGTAAATCATTATTTCTAACATCAAGTAACCAAATAAGCTTACAAGGCAAAAATATTGGCTCCAGGTGAATTCAGCGGTTTACAAGGCCTTCAATTGCCTTCTTCCAGTGCCAAGCAAGTTGTTTCTTATCCTCAAACGTTGAGACCTTCATTGGCTGAATATGTAAAGCAGTTAAATGCTATTTAGTAAAACAAATTTCACAAAGTTGCCCAGAAAAATACATACCGTGCAAACCTTGAAGTGTGAAGAATTCAAGACCTGGACGCCAATGTCATTAGGGTTATCCGACCATAGAATCTTCATACTTTCTATTGACTTGGAAGGATCAACATAAAATAATCTGGGTTTGTTGGTGAGGATGAGCTGCACTTTTTTGCTTGTGAGCAGACGCAGTTTTTTGAGCTTAGAAGCCAAAACAACAGTCTCCCCATACTCCAGAAACTCTTTCCTGATACCAAGACAGTGAGTGAAGTAAAAAATGAATGAATGAATCTTGCATTGGTGGACAATGAATGGCATCATACAGCAAAATCTATTCCAGCAGTGATGGCTGAAGAAACTTATGTTTCATTATCAAGATGCATGCAATCATTAAAGCAGAATGGTATTGCTATCACAGTAAGAAATGAAGAGATGTTATTGCTTAATTTATAGCATAAATATACTGACCATCTAGAATCAAAAGAGTCCACTGAAGCCAACAAAGCAGTATGAAATTCTAATGACGGTGATGTATTAGAACCAAACTCTGAAGCTAAATTCTTATAAAGGACAACAGCTGATTTATTTTTCTTCAAGACCCTCCTGGAATCCTGACCAAGAAAATGTAAACTGATAAAAATACTATTAAACTTCTTTTTTTTAAAAAAAAAGGAAATAATTTTCACATTTTGGATTAAAACATTCGAGTTCAGAGCGATCTTCGGGGCTGACAACTGTCTTAACTTGCTCCATTCAATGCCCTTAAAGAAAGGATGCATCTTTAGGGCAGGATAACCCCCTGGGCCAGCGCCCAATCTTCCTCCAGGATCAATATCCTGCAGCAGAACTATGGTTGGAATAACAGTAACATAAACACACGATTATCAAGATCAGCATGATTATTCTTAAAGCTTGGTTTCCAGTTTTTATTACAAAGAAAGCATAACACATTTAGAATGTAATGGAAAATATAAAACAAAATTCATTTACCTTTATATTGTTCTGAACAAGAATAGATTTTCAAGGCAAGTACATTCAAAAAATAATATTTAACAAAAAATATCGGATAATCTATGTTAACTTTAAATTACATTCAATTTCAAAATATTATAATCATCTTAAATCTAACATAAAAATTCTATTAAATCTATAGCCAAATAGAAACAAAAAAATGTAAAATTTTGTCATTACAAAATAATAAATGAAGTATTCGAATTAAATGAAATTTATTGTTAGTTAAGCACTAAAAAGGATACTTTATTTGGGTATTCAGAAACTAAGAAAATTTGGCTTGACACTCATGAATAACATATTTACTAATGATTAATAGGATAAATCATTACAGTAATTTTTTTTTTTTGGCAAAGTTGAGTGTCCAACCACACAAATTGATGAGGTGGGTTTGATCCCATGATTTCTTAATACTTCAAAAATCTTTACCAACAATGCTAAATGCCACAAACCATTGTAACAATAATCAGATAGTTTTACTAATTTAATTAATTTAGGAATTTAAAATTTTGAGTTTATGGGCTTAGATACCTCCTATGAGAAATAGTGAGATACCTTCTATGAGGCTTAGATACCTCCTATAAGGAATAGTGAGAACAGCGTTTTAAGGTGAAGCTTCCAAGAATGTCAAGTATGCAACCCCATTTCCCTCTGGTATCTTCTCATATTAGTCAAATATTTCTCTTCCTCCAAGATGCTTTAGAAGATAGGATTCGGGATGCCTTGCCTAAGATGGTAGGAACGCTGTCATCTGCTTCAGTTGCAAGAATATTCGAGACACATCCAAATCATGCCCTTACCCTCTGAGGAAGGCAGCATTTTATCTACATATGCCTTTCAAGGAAGATGATGAAGATAGCAAAATATATGCCTTTCTTGCATGACATGGAAAATAAATCATTTTTACAACGCCATGATTTTCTTTATATCTCTGATATTAAAATAAAAAAAATTTGATCTCTTGGAAGCCTCAATTGCTATTAAAATAATAATTGCTTTAACTATAACACCATCATTAAGCTCGATCTTTCTTTGTTCATTTAGTTTTAAAGTTCTTAAAATTACTTAGGATAAAGGCATTAAAACTTAGCAGTTGTAAAATTCTGGTGAAAGAATGGGTGAAAGTTTAGGTTGTCCTAATTTTTCTGCTTTGAGGAAGATATAAATTGGGTTGCACAATCTTCCATATTGTTAATGTAATTGGTCTGCTCTTGACAATCACACTATATCGAGAATGGTCCTTCATAAAGCATCAGTTTTCGTTGAAATCAAGAATCTGTTGCATTGGCATCCAAGGGTAAATTTGTCTTTTATTAGCCTACAGGCAATTTAATCATTTGTCATTTATTATGGTTTAGTAGAAATAGGGCTAATATGTTTGGGGTTAGAGATATGCATGAGATTGTCGTTGAGTCTTGAGTTTAGGGTTTGAGAAAGATCCCATCTCTCGGATTGTAGGAATTGAAAGAGATCGCCTACCTATCAAATTGTAGGTGTTTATATTTGTGTTCGTCTTGAGTGTTTGATGTTGTTGCAATTAAATATTATTTGTCCTAATTTCTGTGTGAACAATTGATTTGGTTCCAATTGAATGGTATGGGAGCATTGATTTGGGAAAAAAAAGGAAAATCGGCTCACGGAGGATTGATCGGGCTAGTAGGGTAAGGACGATGGGATGGGATCACATCACTAGCAGGAAAACGATGACGGATTGCGGCGTGAGATACAATCACGATTACAGCTCACAGAGAAGCAATAGTCTGATTGCGGCATACATAAGATTGCAGGAGCCCTAGAGATACAACTGCGATTTAAGCTTGTTGGAGACAATTGCAGCTATAGAGGTTGTAACTCCATCTTTCTCCTCCCACTCCTTCACGTATAGTCGCAATCGGAGTTAGTTGGAAAGGCTCCGATAGGATTGCAACCTGCAGAGGCTTTTTAACTCCCATCTTCTTCCTATTTCCATCCCGTCTCGCGACATAGTCGCAATTAGAGCTAGTTGAAGAAGGCCACGCGGGGATATGTGCGAGAACAAAGAAGCATACCCTGGATTTGGTGCGCCCTGGTAGTGATACAGTAACGATTCAGGCAATTTGGGGAGCCGATGGAAGATCACGGCTTACTACCTAGCAGGGTAAAAACTGAAAGAAAGTCGAAGGATCACAAGTGTACAGGAGTTCAGCGCCACTCTTGATCAAAAATGAAAATAGGGAATGCAACGTAAATGAGTTATGTGTTGCTTATAATGGAAACTCATGATCGAGATCTGCAAAGTACAAAAATTTGGATTACGGCTTCCGGAGTTCCGCGCAACTTCCAATAGTTCCCACCAAACCCTATACAAGAATTTCGGGATCGCAGTATCCAGAGTTCCACCCACACCGAACCCGTGCTTAGAAATTTTGAATCTCGTGATTTTGGTGTAAAGGGGTTTCAAAACCATCCAAGAGTAATGGTTGTCAATAAAATGGATGCTTGGAGGAAAAAGTAGCAAAATAGGTCAGTCAAATCAAATCTAAAATAGAGGAGTGTTCCACGGCAATGGAAAAGAGGTTAGAGGGGAGGTTCATAGCCTTAAAAAAATTATACAGAATATTATGGATTCCTAGCCAATCCCTACACTACCAGCAACAGGATCGAGTGACGGCGTATGGAATGGACATGAGCGACCGCAATCAGAATAATTCAAGCGACATCAGGGCACCGTCGTTGTCTCAAATTGATCTGGAGCAACAGGACCGAGTGTAGGAATGGGAAGCAAACTCGAGCATCAGAACTCGGAAGAAATGACATGACATCAGAACAGATAGAATGAGAAGTAGCAGGCAGAAGGGGACGAGAAGAACAATTTAAAGGATTTTGACCCAAAATAGAGAATCAGGGTGGCACCAGTGATTTTGTTGCAGCAACCTTCCAAGCAAAGGGCAGTTCTGAAGCTTGTAGGTATGGAAAAGCTGATTATAAGGCACACCAGACTTATGGAAAAAGAGAAATCATTATGAGTCGAGGAAGAGAACCCAACCCCCACTTTATTGGATGGTGGGGGTTGGGGGGAAAGAGATTGGTGAGGACACTCGCACAAAAGGAAGCTGAAGATGTCAATCTTTGAAAGATGGTATGCCAACGGTTTGGTCTATTGCGTGGAGAGAAACTTTGTTGTTAATGTTCTGACAGAGGAAGAATAACTAATAGTAGCGTACCTTTGTTTAGAAGCAAAAGCTATAGCATTATCAAAGGAGAAAATAATGTCAACCAATTACAACTTGGGAAGAATTTAAGAATTGCTTTTTGGAACGTTTCTGAGTCATTCAGGAAAGAGATATATATGAATAATTCTATGCATTGACTAAAGAAGGGACTATTATGGAGTATGGAAGAGAGATTCAAGCTATAATCGGGAAAGATGAGGGAGATTTCTAAAGCAGTATTGGAGAACTTCATGAAGAGTCTAAAGTCCGACATACATGCAGCATTTAATCTATTGAGATAACGAGACTTGGCAAAAGTTATGGAATTAGTGTAGTTAGTTTAGTTAGTTGAAGATCATAATGCAATGAAACAGACTAATAAAAGCCGCACAGGTGGAGCATCATACTAAACTGCGATAACCACGACGACACCAAAGACTTAAATAGTAAAAATCCATACAGAGGCTTCATAAGACAAATCATGGTCCACAACTGAGGGCGACACTCAAGCACCTTATAGAAATAGAGATACAGGAAAAGCGAGCCCAAGGGATATATCTTCGATGTGATGAGAAGTTTAGAAAAGAACTCCATTACAAAAATCGAACATTACAAATTCTCACAATTTTTGACGAGGAGGCAGGGGACGAAGAGATAAATGAAGATTTGGTGGAGGAGCAACACCATCATTTTTTCACCTTAAGGGCAAAATATCTTTTTGAGAGAGGAGTAATGTTAGACCGACACCTAAAACCAAATGTCTTTTATTGGCGGGCAATTTAGTCTTTTGTCATTTACAATGGTTTAGTATAAATAGGGCTAATATGTTTAATGTTAGGGGTATGCATGAGTTTGCTATTGTGAGTCTTAGGTTTAGGGTTTGGGAGATTTCCTGCCTCTCAAATCGTAAGAATTGGGAGAGATCGCTTACCTCTCGGATTATAGGTGTTTATCTTTGTACTCGTCTTGAGTGTTTGATATTATTCTAATAAAATATTATTTTTCCTAATTTCTGTGTGAAAAATCGATTTGGTCTCTATCAGAAGCTTGATGTGTCCCCAAGGTTGATTTGTTAAATATTTTTGAGTTCCCCTGATTCATTGTTACATCGCAGGACCATATTGAAGAATTCTCATACACTAGCTTGCATCCCACTCCTCTCCATTAGTTGGTATCTCGTCCAAGGTCGAAGATAACATCTATTTGAGCAAAGAAGCAATCCGTTTCAAATCATTATTAAGTCCTTAATGCCATTAATTCTATGAAAATTTCTCCTTTCACTATGCCCAATTCAATTCCAACAGCTCTCAAGGGACTTTGGATCCCTCTATTTTTTATAAGCAAATAGAGGCTATAAATGTTAATTCTTAATTCAATTCAAAGGATACTATCATTAAGCCATTTTATCATATTGTCGGTACTATTGAAAAAACATTTGAACAACAACTAGTGAAGCCAAATTCAATGACAAATATCTTGTAATCAAAAGAGATTAGAAAAAACCATCAGTGACAAGGCTACAAAGACTACTAGAATAGCAAGCTAACTTCCATATAGGAAAAGGATAGTGTGGTTCTTTCTATTAAACAAATAATAAAGAAAATCTCAAATATCTATTTTAGCTTGTTAGAATT